TAAATTTTCTTTTTTACACTCCAACATATAAGATGAATAGAAGCCCTGGTTGAAAGCATTGGGGGAGGGGGTCCTCAAGGCCTGAGGCCCTGCTCACTGGCCCTTTACCGCTACCTCCACCCATCATCCCCTTAAGTCCCACCCTACAGCTCCACAGGACATCCTTGGGAGTGGATGCTCTGTGAGTTCTGATGGACCAGGGCCCTCATGGATCTGCAGAAGTGCAGAAAAACACTCTAGAAATCCTTAGAGCTGTACCTGTGAGGGTGGGACTGGCCCAGGGCCTGAGACATACAGATAAGATCATCCTGAGGCCACACTCCCACCGCAGGCATCCCACTTCCCTAGAGTGCCTGCCCTTTGAGCGTCACTCCAAAATCTACAAACCCTTGCCCAGTTACCACAGGGCCTGTCTTCCCATTGCCCCTACCAGAACCACCCCACATGCCTCACCTGCCCCAATGATAGTGGAATGAGAAGCAGGGCTCTTCCTCAATCTCCTGAGGGCCATGACCCCTCCCAAGATGAATATTGAAAAACTGGAGAGTAAGAGAGCATCTCATCTCACATCATACTTCCATCCCACCCGCCAACATGTCTCTACCTCCTGACTGCAGTGCTAGCACCCAGCTCTCTGCATCCTGGGTGTATGCTCACCAGAAGACTAATGTTGGCCTTGGATTCCCATAAGTGGAATCATGCAGAACAAAAAGAACAACCATACCCCAAGTTTGCTCTGCCTTAAGGTGTCTCTGCCCATGGCCACCCATCTTACCCCAATGACCACAGGGCCACTGTGTGTCCCTGGGCATAAGAGGTGGCACTGCAGGAAAGTGAACTAAGTGCTGAGCCCTTCCCTGTAGGCCTAAAATTCAGAAGCAAGATAAAGCACTACCAAAGATACCAGTCCTTCTCCCACACCTGCCTACCCCAGTTCTTTGCAAGGAGAAAGCCACTGCCTAGATGCTACTGTTGCTGAGATCAGGATGCCCCTCACAGAAGGCTAGGCTCTTGGCCTACCTAGGTGAGCATGCAAACCACTATGCAAATTATATGCAAATCGAGAGTCTGCCCTTGGGTTCCTAACACCTGCCATCTCTTTTGCCTATGGTTCACCCTCTTTGGTCACATGAGTACTGGCTAGAATCTACCAAACTAGAGGCTAAGAAAATACTTCAGGGAACTGGGGCCGGG